GCACATGGGCTCCAGTATCCTGCGGGAACAAATGGCGTATGAACCAATCGTTGGTCACCGGCTACCATGGGACTGCATCTCCTCACGATGCTCCACTGCCTTGTGGGTCAGACGTTCAGGTCGAAGGCTCGGGGTGTGGCCCCTAAGAAAACCACCTGCTTCGGTTTGGGCACCCGGGCAGTATCACAGCCCTCACACAAATCAACTGAGATTTGTGTGGCGCATATGTATTTGGTGCCTCCCTGTACCTATAATTATGTGTTAAAATAAAATAATATAATAATAATACTGACGAACTTCAGTGGCTTATCAGCCAATTAAGAAACACTGCCTGGTTATAAAACAATTAGCAATACAAAGAAATCAAATAACAGTGGTATAATAGCTTTGGTTTGAATAATTAACTCTTAAATGTTAAACTATCACTCACAGAATTAGAAAAAAGGTTAAATATACATATTAAGAGTCGACCTAATGTTCTTTTAGTTAGGGTTATCTTCCTTGCAGAGTTTTGCTCATCAACTGAAATCATTTATATTGCATAAAGGTTTGGATTAGATATTAAAAGTTGTGCTGAGGTTTTGAGTTAATCTAATATATAAAGGTCAGGGTTTTCATCCTAAACTAAAATCAGCTATAATGCAATCCTTGCCAATTTTCTTTTCACAACTTTAAGAAACTTAGGGTTAAGATTTAGAGTATGAGTTAGAAATGAAGAGTACTATCTAGCTTCACTAAACACTCCTAATATGCATTAAATAACATCTAGTAATTTAGCACACAATCGGTTTTAGGAGCAGGTATGTTGTGTAATTTATCTCAAGGACCATCTAAAATTCACTTTTTGGTTGCATAATAGATTTTAAGCATTTTTAAAATCGATTAATGTCAATTATCACTGAGTTGATAAGAATATAGGGTATTTTCCTAATTCTATTAGGAATATAAATGTCTATAGAAGGATAGAAAAGATTGCTTCATAAATTGATTTGAGACTGTTATTATCATTGATAGTAACTTAACACCTAGGCATCATCCAGAAAAAGCACCAACAGTACAAAAGAAAACTCTTTTTATAAATATGGAATGTAAAGGAAATACGGCTGCTGAAATAATAAATTAACAAATTTCAAAATCGATGTATAAAACATCCTACTCAGCTAAGCTCCGAATTGTTTTCTCAAGCCGGCCTACCATTCACGGATTTTTTAATGATAAACTTCGTCTTTGAGCCACATCAATGTACATCTATATATTTACTTGCTCATGTGGAGCAGGTTACATCGACCGCACAAAGCAATCACTTTCCAAATGCATCTCAGAACGCTACCCGGCATGATTTTTAAAACAATTGCTAGTTCAAAACAGAAACATTTATTCAACTATGGACGTATAGCTCCAAAAGGTGTCTTGTAAAATAATTAACTTAGCCAAATGAATCGGATCAAAAGGAAGTCGAATCAAAATCTTATGCACTACTGAGACATTGACAATCCATCAACTCAAGCCCAAACTTTGTGTGTAAAAACGATACATCCAACCTCTCATCCATATTTTTTTTCACGTTTTTGTTTATTTTTTTTTATTTTCCTTATTATTATTGATTTCTTAAATTAGTATTTTGTAATTTTAAACTGTCATCAGTTATTATTACCTTTTAAACAAGTTTTCTCAATTATTATTCAATTTTTATTATGACCTTTATGTTTGTCATTTTTCTTCAATATCTGTCAATTAAACAATTATCTTTCATAATTCTGACCTATAAATTATTTTTATCCTTATATTGTTCTTTTACTCCTTGATTATTGAGTAACCTCATTTGATAATAAGAGTCTCAAATCAATTTATGATTCAATCTTTACTAAGATAGTAGAAAAGATTTGTAGCTCAGGTGGATGATTTTGCTAGAGTTTTGTTCTCTCACTAAACCATCCAGGTCAGAGAACAAAACTCTATCGTAATCTTTTCTATCCTTCTATACACATATATGCTCTGGAAGTGGATAGGACACACATTGAAGAAAGCACCCAACTGCGTCACAAGGCAGTCCCTCACATGAAATCCTCAAGGTCAAAGAAAAAGAGGAAGACCAAAAAACAAATTACGCTGAGAAATGGAGAAGGACATGAGAAAAATGAACAAAAATTGGATAGAACTAGAAAGGAAAGCCCAGGACAGAATGGGTTAGAGAATGCTGGTTGACGGCCTATGCTCCATTGGGAGTAACATGCCTGTAAAAAAAATCATAAACATATGTTCTCCATATAACTATAAATACGAATGTACAACATAAGTAAATGATTTCATTGTATCACCAGCATTCATGCCTAAAATATTTTTTTGTCCGGCTGAAATACATAAATATTTATTTCCCTGAGTGGGTTCGTATCCCATCCCATCCCCTTCGCCAAATGTTATAACTTGTGGCCTGTGTGCCCTGTTAATGAATAAGTAATGATACCGACAATTAGAGAGCAGTGAATCATCAATTGGATCAATGACGCGTAAAACCCGTACGAGCAGTCTAGAGTCCTGATTGGTCCTGCTTTCCATCTAGCCCAGCCAGTTAAGTCCAGAACACCAATATCAGCTTCTGCAATATGAATCATTTATTTCAAGCATACGAGGTTTATATACCAACCAGACAAACCACATTGTACCATAATATATGAAACAACATTTGTACGAGAATGAGCCAAATGTGACTGTGAATGAGGAAGGTAGTGATTACTAGACAGGGCATAATACAAGAATGGTAAAACGCATAATAATGGTTCATAGATCAAAATAAAGCTCATAATAAGAGGGACATGAATATGAATATTTTAGTTACTTAACAATTATACGATAAAAGTATACGTTGAGTATTTATTCATAAATGGATCCCAAAGTTATCATTCATTATGCTTATCGGGACCTAACAGAGACCGACAATGACATAATCATAAAATGTATTTATATGTTGCCCCTTTACAATTACAAAACATTGAATACATATGAGTACAATGCTATTCATTTAAAGATTAAGATTAAAATATTTATTACCTTTAACAATATACTACCATTAAATTTATACCATTACCATAAAATTCTTTACACCAAAATTAATTTTATTATCTATATAGATACTACTCATATTATTTATTTTTAAAATAAGATCATGTTGAATGTATCAATTTCATTCAATAACTAAAAACAGAAATACAAGTTATTTTATTTACATTAACAGAATGTATTAAGTTGTAGCCAATGTATCAAATTGTAAGTTAAAAGTTTTATTTATTTCTTTTTCTTTTTCATTTACATTTCTTAACAGTTAACATTTAAGAATTTAATTTAATTTACTTAAAATGTTAATTTTTCAATAAGATCAGTTGATGAGACTGTGAATCTTCATTGACTGAGTTGGTTGGGCCACGTGTTACATATGCCTGAACACCGATTACTACGATGTGCAATGCTGACTAGCGTAGGGGATGGTTGGAAGAAAGTTAGTGGCGACCCAACCAAAACTTAGCATCAGTACTTGAAGTTATTAACTTTTGGTCTGAGTCATGTTGGTAGATACAAGAATACTTGGTTGGAATTTGTGCGACTATCATAATCAGTAGGGGTTGGAGACTCTTGGTGACATGGCTCAGAATCGATCATAATGACTTGAGTGTATACACACTATGTCTTCCCTTAAACTATTAGATTAAAAATGATTCATATCTTTCTTTCTATGAACTAATTCTTTCTTCATAAAATCTTTCTTTTATATATTACTACCTTTTTAGTAACTAATCTTATGAATCCGGTGTTCATCTTGTTGCGCTATTGAGTTGTGGCAACTTGAACAGATGCACATATGTGTCTGGTTCTACGTTGTAACTGACTGACTGACTGATATTGTTTCATTCATTTCATTTATTCATATAAAATAACTCGAGGCTATTTGTTTAATTTAATATGGAATTATGTTATCTAAATCTATATATTCTTTTTGATAAATACCTCATTTTTAAGATTGCTCACCTGAAGACTATTTCTGATTTGATCTGAACACCCGGGTAGTATCACAGCCTTCATACATATATCAATGATAATTGTTACTGGTCTCATTGTTATTGTGTGGTGCATATGTATTTGAGTCCCCTTGTATCAGTATTTATATGTTCGAATATAAATAGTTCACGACTCGATTTAAGCGGGACTACGATTATAAACTTAGATGAAAGGTTATACAAAATCATGTCACAATTGAAGTTAGATGTTAACACCGTTGAATGCAGGCCGGATCATTGGCTTAGAAATTAAGCGTTTGCGCGTGAGACCGAAGGTCCTGGGTTCGAGTCCCCTTGGCGTGGAATCATAGATACGCGCTGATGAAGAGTTTCATACTAAGACGAATCGGTCATCCAGTGCTTTCAGGTTTTCCATGATGGTCTAACTTCAACTGACTTATGAATTCAACTACTAAAAATCATTACAATCTCCACAAAACCCCCTTCTGAAAATAATTTCTTTATTACATCAAGTATACACTTATTCATCTTGTAATATGTATATAATTAAAACAAAATTTATGAGATTCTTAGAGATTTGTTGATTAATATATATTTTTAGATACAGACTAGTAAAAAAATCTTACAAGTTTGTTCTGTGTAACTAAGAATGTCTGTTTCATTGTTGGATTTCAACATAAATCCTAATTGATTGTCTACTAAATTTATGTCAAGTTGAAAAATTTTCTAAAGTGATGAAACTAATTTAGTTATTATGTTCTTGTTTTTGTTTCTAATTGTGTTAACTTATGTTGATTGAACTGACCTAATGAACTTAGTTATCTCTTACTTTCGGCTTAGGTTCTATGAATACGTTGTTATCAACTACACATCATATTTAAACTGTTTTTCAAACATAATACATAATATTTGGTCAAATATCAGTCTTCAGTATATGTATCCTTTTTAAATATTTCTTTTTAGATATTATTTACAAAATATTCAATTAATATGAATAACTATTGGTTTCAACCCTTCTGTTGTATGATTGTTGGATTTCTAATATTAACCAGTTATACTAATTGCATGGACTCTAATGATGATTCTTCAGAGATTAGTGCAGATAAACGTTTTCTGTTAGCTTTACCAACACCTAAAAGGTTAAGCCAACCTTCATATACATTTAACCGTTACAGACGTCCAATGTATGACTATAGGTATAAACCAGATTATATTGATTCCGATGAAGATTTATTCAATGAAGATAAAAGATTCCTACTTGGTCTACCGCCTAAAGTTGAATATAAACGTTTCCTACTTGGTTTACCACCATCACATAGACAACATAAAAGGTTCATTTTAGGGCTACCAGCACCAACTAGATTTCATTCATAAACGAAGATAGTTTTAAACACGTGAATATCTACACACATATGCATACAAAACATTTTACCATACATCTATGTATTCATTATTTAACATGTCTGAATAATAAATTATAAAGATGAAGTTTTGTTTTATATGAATGGTAAATACCATATCTTTTCAGTATAGGGTTGTGGAAATTTTTGAATTTCTTTAAAATAATAAACCGGTCATGAGAACTACTTTTAAATCGGGATAAGACTATGTAACCAATGTCTTTGCCTGAGTGAAGGTCAGTTTTCAAACTTTAAAAAACGAGAATCTTATAGAACAAAAACTAACAGACTGTGAGTCTTTTAGCGATTTGTATCAGGAGCAGATGAGATAGTTTTTAAATAAGAAAGCGTGTAAATACTTTTGCTAGTAGTTTAACAGACTGGAGGAATAAAGAGGTTTGATAATAAGATATCGCTCTCAGTATAAAAATAAAGCCGAAACTATTTTCACGATAGGAGTTACTGAATTCAGAACAATTATTCATTTCTACTGTGGTAGACGCTACTCGCGAAATTGCTTGTAAGTAGTATTTAGCGAAGTGTGGCGTCAAAGCCGTCACAGCCGTCAGACAGAAAGAAGAGTTTCAGTAAATCATAACCACAACGTAGACAAAAAGATTGAAAGCCAGTCGAGAAAATAGCTTGAATTGTAGAACACACTCTAAGATGCAAATGGGTGATCGAAGACAATGTAAAAATACGTCATAAATACTGTATTTCCTCTATATATTTCAATAAGTGAATTCGCCAGCTTATTTATTAGTGGTAGGTAATCAAACTATAATTAAGTTGATTGTGCACAACTGGACTAAAATAATGGAAGCATTAGATTAACACGAAATTATGACCTATTTATGATGGAATCGGATTTATGTTGATGTTGGCAATAAAGTATCTAGAAACAGCATTCTAGTGGGCAAAATCCAGGGTTGAGTCAGGCTGATCAAATCCTCTGTGTATTGAAATCAATCCAAACCGTCCAGAGTGTCAACCAGTCAACACGTCCTAAGTATTTCTGGATCAATATAGTAATGGAATATGACAAACAGATAGATTAACAAGCAAACATGAAAATAAATCACACTCCTAAGCACAAGTTAACCGATAGAAGTTAACTCATACATTTTACAGTCACAAGCTCTGTTAGACACCATATTCCGAAATGAAGAAACGAATATATTCATCTAGTATGTCTGTATTAGATACCATAGGATGTTAAGTTCAAATGAGCTGAACGGGAATTGTGTGATAGTCTGACTTACATTACCCACACTGCGCAATATATATTCAGTCTAGGTTTCCTTATTGTGGTGCTCAAATAGTACTGAATCTCTGAAATTTCTACAGAATAAATAGATTCTTATGACGTAGACATAAGTGCCGAATGCTTACAAAGTTAATCTTTACAAGAGCTCAGTCAAACCCCTCAGCATGTCTTCAGTTGGTTGTACTGTCTGGTTAACACTAACAACACTGCAAGTTGATAGTCGGGACGTTTAATTCTGAAAATATTAAACTGATATAAAAAGGAGCTAATAAAAGAAAAAGGTTTCATAAAGCGTTTGAGTGCCTCAGTATCAAAGAACATGGATAAATCAAAATATAAAATGACCATTATGCAGTTGATTTATTGATGAACAACAATCAACACTTAGAGTGCATCCCTGAGTTTGTCAACTAATCTCTGAGACCTAAACGAACAAAGAACTAGGGAATACAGCTTTATCACAAGTCTTAAGCCAGTGCAAACAATAATGGTTGTCTTCAAGAGTTCCTTTGCAAAACTTTTATCGAATAACGGCAATCATAATCACAACTTTCACTTGTAATTGATATGCTCCACTCCATCTTCCTGTTCAGTGACAATCTTCGAATATGTACCATTCAATAGAACGTAGCACAATAATATTTAATCGAAATCATTATATGAGAGTCATAAAGCCGAGTTTTAGTGAATAAAAAAAACCGGAAAATCCTTTGGTGCAATTTTCTAGATACTTTGCTTTCACTTTTAATCGAGTAAAGTAAGCGAAGGACACGAAGTGCAAAACAGCACATAATTTTCAAGGTCACTTACAAAAGATATAATAAGTATCAGCAATTCAAGGCCTTCCCTGTTAAACTTTTAGTTATCTTTCTTTCAAGGGAAATTCTATAAAATGAACATTACCTTCATTTATAGTGACTAACCACCACCGGTTCCAGATCGATAGAGCGTTCATACAAAGTCACAAACCCTAAGAAGAAATCCAAAATCGTAGATTATGAAATGCTGGATTTTTAGTGTAGCTGTAAATAAGTCACCAAAATCAATGGCTCTGTAAGTCCTTCACATTTGATGCTAACCACATTAGTTTTAATGGACTCAACTAGCTGAAGGTGCTCGATCATACACCCTTATCAGATCACGAGTGGGAACGCTGTGCTCAACTTCTTCTACAATTGCTAGTCAGTTTATTTATGACTACAGCTTACTCATCCCCCTAGTAGGGTAGCGAAGACCTTGAGACGTGACCATCCAGAATTTTACACCCGACGGGCTTCCGGCTGGTAAACATCTCCGAGACTTCGCAATGTCCAGCAGAATTTGTTGATCTTCCTCTAATATAGGTAGCAATGCGGTATGACATAATAAAAAGAAATGTACCATTAAAATTTAGATCCATTATATACTTCATCGGGTTTTTCATCTTTTCTTGTCATCCTGGAGAAAAAAGTTAAGATGTGAGTGCATGTCGAGATAAACTTTCAGATCACTAACGTAGATGACCTCTGTCAAATGACTGGTAGTTCAGTCGAGTTAGACGGGAATGGTGTGACCAAACAACTTACGTCGAAGTTACAGCCCACAGTTAGTACCTAACGTGGATTACCACTTCGTCGTATCCAGGTACCATGGCTGTACAACATAAATGACGTCCCGACAGGAATATATTACTGAGAGTAGGTACAAGGACCAGACCAGGATCACTACTGCATGGGCCACTGTGGTGTTTGAATGAACTAATGACTCCTTTGTACTTGTTGAATGTTTGATTTGGAATTCTAAATACAGTACATTCGTTAGTGTTTGTGTAGTACTCCTTGATTCAATGGCGTTATCTCTGGGATTCTTAGTTCATACTATAATTCAATTACTTCTAATTATCATATTGGCGTCGCGATGGAGCCTGCGATGGAACAGTTAGATATTCATTCAACTTCTGAAGCTTTTGAGGATTATTTGGAAAGGTTTGAAATTTGGAGCATGACCAAGAAAGATGTTAAAGGTGATAAAATTGTGGCACATTTCCTGACATTCATCGGAAAAGAAGCATACAGCTTATTGAAAACTTGGGCATATCCAGAAAAACCTATCTCACTTCCTTATGCAACTATTAAGGAGTTATTATTAAGTCATGTAAAGTGCACCAGTTTTGAATGCCGTGAAAGGGCAAAATTTCATAAGATGACTCGTCGAAATGACCAAAAGGTTAAGGAATTGATTCTTGAATTGCAGAAACAAGCTGCCAAATGTAATTTTGGTGATCAACTTCATGTGCAACTGAGAGATCGATTAATTGCAGGAATTAACATACCGGGTTTGGAAAGAGAGCTGTTAAGAATGCCGAACTGTTCCTTTCAAGATGCTAGAACTGCGTGTATTAACTACGAGGCAGTGAATGAACTTGATATCCAGTCGATGAAGATTTCTAATACTTTGCTTAGTCGTCATGATGGAATACAATCTCAGGGTCAATCAAAATTGCGTTCGTTTAACAGTGATTCCTATTCTCATGTAAATATGAAAGGTGTTTCAACAAGGAATTACAAAGGAAATCACAAAGGTGAGACCAAGTTTGGCAAATGTTTATCATGTAGAAAACTTCATTCTCGTAATTCATGTGCATTTCGTAATGCTAAATGTTTTAGATGTGGTAAGATAGGACACATTCAATCAGTATGCAAAGCTACTATTCATTTTGCCTCAAGTAGTACTAAATCTTGTAATTTAGATCCCAATGATTCAGCTGTTCCTAATGATCATTTATCTTTGTCTACTGTTTCGAAAGGTAATACTCATATTTAAAAGCGATTATATACATCGCTTGGTTCATGTCATGACTTTATTGTTGACACAGGCAGTATAGAGTCCATTACTTCGTTCAAGAACTTGAAATCTTTAGATCCTAACGTTGTGGTACGACCCACTGAAGTAGCAATATTGGGGATTACTGGACACAGACTGCTTATACGAGGATGTTGTGAGTCGCTAATAAGAGATGATAATTCTTCATATATACCTTGTGAATTTTTAGTTAGCGAAACAGGACTGTCAATACTGGGCTTAAGGAATTTGAAAAGGCTTAAAGTGGAGCTGTCTTTCCTATTTTCTAAAGAAAATAATGATGCTTTACTCAAAGATTTGATGGCAACGTGTGCTAAGTGCAGTGTAGGTATGAAGATTCAGCCTATAAAACTTCAAGTACAGGGTGAACCAGTCTTTCTTAAAAGACGAATAATTCCTTATGGTCTTCGAGATGCAGTACATAAAACATTAAACGATTTGTGTGCGAAAGGCATAACTGAACCGATCCAGTCCTCAGCATGGGGCACTCCTATTGTTACGCCACTGAAGTCGGATGGCGAAACCCCTAGAATATGTGGTGACTATAGATTAACACTGAACTCCCGTTTGTTGAAGCAAACGTGCACGACGGTAGAGGCTGAAGATATTCTAAATCGACTTCATGGTTTTAAAGTGTTCTCGAAAGTTGACCTAAAAGATGCTTATCTCCAAATCCCTTTAGATCAATCCTCAT